GAAAGAGTGAACCTTTTCTCCCTCTCCCAAGCTACTAGAACTCGAGGGCATCCAGTGAATTTGAAAGGTGGCAGATTTAGGACAGCTGACAAAAATACTGCTTTATGGAGCGAGTGATTAAAATGTGGAATTCATTGCCAGAGGATGTAGTGATGGCCACAGGCATAGCAAGTTTTACAAGGGGATTCGATAGATTCATGGAGGACAAGTCTATCGGTGGCTACTAGCCATGGTGACTAAAGGGAACCTCCACATTCAGAGGCAGACAACCTCTGAATCCCAGCACCAGGAGGTAACGTCAGGGGAAGACCTCGGCCTCTGTGCCCTGTTGTTGGCCACCACTGTGTGAGACAGGATGTTGGACTAGATGGACCACTGGTCTGATCCAGCAGGACTCTTATTATTTTCTTATGAGATCCATTATGCCCCAGAAAGCCCACCAACAGTGTGCTATGGACCATCACCCAAAGAGTGATTAACACTTGGAACTCACTGCCACAGGAAGTGGTGGCAACTACAAGCATGGACGGCTTCAAAAGGGAATTAGATAAGCATATGGAGCAGAGGTCCATCAGTGGCTATTAGCCACAAGGTATAGATAGGGACTCTGGGGCAAGTGATGCTCTGTCATCTTGGTGCTTGGGGGGGGGGTCAACAGTGGGAGGGCTTCTAATGTCCTGGCCCCACTGGTGGACCTCCTGATGGCACTGGTATTTCTGGCCACTGTGGGATACAGAGTGTTGGACTGGATGTGCCTTTGGCCTGATCCAACATTGGCATCTCTTATGTTCTTATGTTCTTATCACAGACTGGATAAGCCTTTTGTCAGTGCTGCATGCCCAAGACTGCAAGTTCCTGGGGGTGAACCAATATGGTCTGTCTCATTTTCACTGATGTTGTCTATCATTCATTTGTTTGAAGATCTCCTGCTATTACAATGCATCTCCAGACAATCGAGATAATTTCCCCTGGAGAAAATCTCCTGCTATTACAATGGATCTCCAGACAATTGAGATAATTTACCCTTTGGAGGGTGGGCTCTATGGGATTTTAGCCTGCTGAGGTCCCTCCCCTCCCCTCCCCAAACCCCACCCTCCCCAGGCTCTACCCCCCAAAAATCTCCAGGTATTTCTCAAGCCAGAGCTGGCAACCCTGTGTAAAACAGAAAGGCACAGAATGTGTCAGCAGCTTACCAGTAATCTTGCCGTTGGCTTCTAACGGAGGCTGCCAGCTGACGATGACGGCCCGAGGCTTGCCTTCTCGAGTAATGACTGTCAAATCCTTGGGAGCAGAGGTTGGTGCTTAAAAAAAGGCAAAACCCCGGAGGTTTTTAAAGAAGAAATGTTCGGGGAGAATCCAACATACATAACTTTGACCATAATCCACTGGGAACGTATCCTGCACAAGCTCCTTTGGAACTATAGAGAGCCACATAATGAAACTTATAGATTCGAGTCCAGAAGCACCTTAGAGACTAACATGGTTTTCGGGATGTGAATTTTCGAGATTCGAAGCTCGCTTCATCGGACATGAGTAGGAATGGAGAGCTGAGTCTTTTTATCTCAGTCAGAAGGTGGGAACTAGATCAAGATGGGTTGCTGTGCTGGTCTGTCTGTAGCAGCAGAAAAGAGCAAGAGCCCAGCAGCACCTTAAAGACTAACTAACTTTGTGGCCCGAGGTCCCCACCAAGTTTCTATGGCAGAGTGGGGATTTAAGAAGCCATTTTTTTTGATGTTTGATACAAGGAGCTGCTGCTTAATAACCCCTTAAATAATGTAATACTGAGCCAAAACTAACTACTAACATTTCAGCGGAGTCAGCAATGTCCTCCCCCTCCAAATCTCTTCCATTTTTCAGCACAGCTTGCAAAAATATTGGCTCGTTTATTTACAATTCTGTTGCTTCTTTTGACCTCCAAGTGATATAATTTCTTCCTGATGTTATCACGTGGCCTAAACTTATAGTGTGTCTATGTCATCATGCTAGTTATGTGATCCCTGATTGGCTGGGATCCAGGAATAGTTAATATACTACTCAATGATGTTCACAGGCTTGGATGGATTGAAAGGGGTGTCAGAGAGACTTACAGAGAGACTTTACCTCTGGGTATTAACCGTGACAAATGAATGAGACCTCTAGGGCCAGATGCTAGGGGGTGGCCAGTTGGTGAGAGATTCTGCCAATGGGTTCTCTTTCTGAATTTCCCTTTGACATCTAGTTGGCTAATGCTGCAAACAGGACACTCGAAAAGCAAGACCAGGGGTCCCCAACATGATGCCCATGGGCTCCATGGAATCTGCCGACATCTTTCCTGGTACCCACCAAGTGCTTTAAGAAAGTGAGTGAGGCTAGGTCTTCTGAATGGCTGTGCAGATTGAAAGGTATCTTGTTAAACAGAGCTTCAGTCTGAAATATTGAAGAATTACTATTACGGTTGTATATAATCTCAATCCCTGGCATTTTGTGGTTGGCCCCACCTCCTTTGGCAGCCATTTTGTGATTCTGCCCACTGCCCTTTTTCAGAATTCCAAAGGAGACCACAGGCACAAAAAGGTTGGGTACCCCTGAAACACACCATCGATCTGATCTAGAAGGGCTGTTTTTATGCCCTTATATTCTCACCTATAATTTTAATAAGGACTTATTCTAAATAATCATCCCGATGAATAACTCATGAAGGCAAAATAATCAGGCGCAAAAAAGGGTGTTGAAACTATTAGCAACTAGAACTGAGATGACGTGTGAATATTCACAGAATCAGAGTATTCGTTGTGAAATATCCATACCCTTTCCCCTTCCAAACCCAGTGTTTTCATTCAAACAAATCTTTGGATCTAGGGAACATGTAGCATCAAAACGAATATTCAGCATAATTCAGTCCACAAGACTGAAATCTGGATGATGGCCAATACTTTCGGCATTTTTTTAAAAAAGTTAAACCTCTGGGGAAATCACATAATAGAAACTGGAGACTACGACTTCCTTTGTCCTCATTAATAGATTACCACACGGAACAGCGGTATGACTGAGAAGAGTAATATGATATCAAAGCACACTTCCCCTTCATACATCAGGCCTTGAATGTAATCAGATTCCTTGAGCCCTTGATAAATTAATACATAAATGCTGACTACAAAACTCTGGTCCTAATAATAATAGAGGATTACTGCCCATGTTCTCATCTGATCTTGGTATCCTTTGAAAAATGAATGGCATCTATACCTCATCATTAGCGAGGAAAGTCTTTGAAGTTCATGGTACTTCGGCTGTTCGGTATGGTAAATATTCCATTCATTAAAGTGTGGCAACCTGGCTTCGAGCCATTTCAAGAGATGCGGAATGAAATGGCTGGCTTTGCTTCATTTTGGTACCCACCAGTCAGGGAAGGAGTTAATTTTCATTATTATTTTAAATAGTTTATGCCATACAGAGCAATGTGACAAAAAATAAAGTATTGTCTATGTTAGCAATGTAAGCTGGTACCTTTTTAAAATATAACATTTAAAAATCTCCTCCGCGGGGAAGCAAATAAAGACATACCTGCTTCATAGGTAGTGGCATGAGCAGTCATACTCCACGTGCTTGACCTTCGTCCTTTCGTTACCATGACAGAAAATTCATACATTGTGTTTGGCTTCAGACTGGAGACTGTGTGGCTCAAGGCTGTTGTATCTGCTGACTGTAAAGGGGGAGGGAGGGAGGAATTAAACAAATACAATATTGCTAGAATTACACTAGGAAGTCTGAAAATGATGCGACATCCGCTCTCCATAAAACATATACCATCAGGCAAGGATTATTCTTTTCACTTACATATTTATATTCCACTTTTCTCCCCAATGGAAACCTGAAGTAGTTTACAACATTCTTCCCTCCTCAATTTTATCCCCACAAAAACCTCACTGCAAGGTAGGTTAGACTGAGAGAGTGTGGCTTGGATCCTGCCTAGATTTCCATGGGCAGAAATAAGGGGGCAATTTCCACCAATTCCTCTTTCCAACTGCAGCCCAAAACACAACCTAAAATGATGCTCCTGGTGAATGCCCCCCCCCCCAGAATACCTTGGGAAGGGTTGGCATGGGAGGAGAAGATTGGTGAAAATCACCTCCCCCCCCAACACACACAGAAACTGAGATTGGATCCAAGCCAATGATAGGCTCAAGGTCTCTCTCCAACATTCCATGGCAGAGTGCAGATGCAAACTCAGGTCTCCTAGATCTTAGTCCAACACTGTAACCACTCTTACCATATTAGCCTGCAGTTTTTATTTCTCATGTTTTTATCCCGTCTTTCCTATATATTTTATTTTAATTTTATTATTTATTTAAGTATTGAATTTCTACCCCACCCTCCCAGCCAAGGCCGGCTTATTTATTTCATATATTTTTAGCTCATTTATCTCCCCACTGGGGCCTCAAAGTAGCTTACAAAAAGATGCATCATCATCGTCATCGTCGTCATCGTCGTCATCATCATCGTCGTCATCATCTTACTTTTGATTTATATCCCGCCTTGCCAGGGCAAGCCGGCTCAAGGCGGCATACAACAAGTTAAAATACAATAAAACAATAAATACAATAAAATTTCACATAACATCCAATTTACATAGAGTGCTAGTGGTGCAGATGACGGTGATTGCTATAAGACGGTCCAATGTAGGAAGGCCAGTATCCAAAGCTGTAACATGAGGGCCATAACCTGTTCAGTTTCTGGTAGCTCATTCATCAGTGGCGGCTCCTAATCGAAGGCCTGGTGGAAGAGCTCCGTTTTACAGGCCCTGCGGAACTGTAGAAGGGCCCGCAGGGCCCTGGCGTCTTCTGGGAGCTCGTTCCACCAGTGTGGAGCCACCACTGAGAAGGCCCTAGCTCTGGTAACTTTAAACAAAAGTATGAACACAGTATAGAAAACAAGCAAACAACACAAAGTAAACAATATGTCAGGGGCTGATCAGCTCATCAGCTTTTAATCCAACTGGCCAAGGCCATGCTCCGTGATACATGAGCTAAGAGCCACAGATGAATGGGCCTTAGGCTTTTGCCTCTCCTCTGTTCTGTCCTTATATCATCCTTATGAGGTAAGTAGTGACAGGCCCAAGGTTACCCAGTGAACATCTTGGCAGAGTGGGGATTCCAATCTGGGTCTCAGCAGTCTGAGCTTGACACTCTATCCTGGGAGTCTTCAACCCTTTTGAGCCTGTGGCCACCTTTGGAATTCTGTCATAGGGTGGTGGGCACAATAACAAAAAGTCTGCCACAAAAGGTAAAGCCAACCATAAAATGTCAGGGAGGGAGGTTATATATAACTCTAATAGTGCCTCTTCAACATTTCAGGTAGAAGCTCTGTTTAACATGATGCCTTTTAATTGGCATAATTAATTGGCAGGGGATCCGCACGTCTTCACAGGATCCCTGCCGCGGGGGACAGCGATACACGTTGCACCACCGTCACCAGGTTGTGACGCTACGCGTCGCTCTGGCAACAGGGCTCCCAGATGAGAATCCACACACATAAACACTACACCAAACTGACCCACTGGAGACAAAAAATTCACTTTATTCTAGAAATTCTAAAAATGTTGATTGAATTGAACAAAAATGCCTAGTTGCTTGTCCTTTTCCTACAAGGGCATTTTGAGATCCATTAATGCATATTTAATCAGGTGATCGGCGGAAAAAACCCCCCACCTTCTCTTACCTCTTCAGTAAATATGTACATGTGCTCTTATAAAAAGTGCTCATTTCAATACCTTGGTGTTTGTATACGCTTTGGCTTGGTTAAGTGTGTGTTCCTTTGTTTTACTGAGGAAAATGCATTATTCATTTTATATTGACGGAAGTCGGTTAAGAACAGGTAAATAAACGGGCGCTAATGTGTACAGAGGGAGGTTCGGTAATGTGGTGCTTTCCCTCGTCCACCTTTTGTTTAAGTTTGTATTAAGGAGCCACTTTAGCACGGTGGGATTTTTATCTCCACACGACGAGAAGCGGAATCAGGAGGAAAACAGCAGTGAAGAAGTGACACAGGTGGAAATTTCATACTTCTCCAGATTTAGAGGATTCTGGGACTACTGTGCATGCAAGCTCCATCTAAGGAAACCCCAACCCCTGGGTATTCCTTGTATCTCTACTCACTCCCATGAAATGGTGAAACAGGAAAATGAGATTATCTCTGATCTCTTGAAGAAAACGAATTGCTAGTTGGAGTGGATTGAAACGTAAGTGTGAAAAGCTGGGCAACAGCTAGTGAAATCTCCATCTCCCTTTGCATATCTGGTCCTCAGGGCCAGTGTCAGCATCCCCTGAGGAGGGGCAGCTGTCGGGGCTCAGGTATTTCCCAGGGCAAAGTTGGCATCTCTAGTTGTATGTCTATATTTAAATTCTATTTTGTTTTGAGTACTTCATTTTGTAAGCAAACTTGGATCTCCAGAGTGGGGGAAATGGGACCATGAATGATTAAACACAACCAATGGGCAGTATGTGGAGTGTTTTCTCCCCTACAGATCCCTGTCTCCTTGCATTTGGAGCTAGTAATGAGGCCCTTCCATGGGTATCACCTTTTGCAGATTCAGTCTTGGTATCCTCAAGGAACAGGGCCTTTTCTGTAGTTGCCCCAGTGCTGTAGAATCCCACTGTGCCCAAACCACAGTTGGCCTTTTTCTGCAGTCTGCATTTAGAAAATTGACAAAATCAGTCTTGGTTGACCACACTTTCAAGAATGGAGGCCTTTGTTTATTGACAGCAGGGGGGCGGACTAGATGGCCTATATGGACCCCTCCAACTCTCTGATTCTATTCTACGACTGCCATTTCAGATCGGAGACCTGGAATCATTTAGCGGTGTGAGTGCCATCCTAGGACTGGGAAGACCTGGATTCAAAACCCTACTCAGCCATGAAGATTGTCCAATGACTTTGGGCCAGCCACTTTCTCTCAGCCTAATCTACCTCTCAGTGTTGTTGTGAGGATAAAAGGAAATAAGATCCATCCATACTGCCCCTAGCTTCTTAGAGAGCTGGCACACTAAAAGTGTAATATTTAGATCTGGATTGCAAGGTGAATGTTGTTTTGCTTTATTTTATTTATTTACTTCCTTTTGAGTTCTTTGTCAGTTTGGCCATAATTGGTACTGTTTGAGCTCTGTCAAATGCTTTGAAATTTGGCATTAAAATGTGATAAAATAATTGAGTTAAGTGCATCAACCACAAAGAGACTCTGAAAGGCATCAGTTCTGTCGGGAGATTATCTCTGTCCATCATAAAAACAAGTCACAACCACGTCAATGGGATGGCAGAGAGGAAAACCGTAGGATTTCATAAGCCAAGAGAATACATAGAGGATGATCAAAACAAAAGTGGACTTTGGACAAACATAAGAGGCCCCTTTTGCTTGTTTTTTGATTTGAACTATTTGTTTCTTCGTTTGATAGGACGCATTAGCATTTCAATGGTCCCCACAAACACTTTGAGGAAAACATCAGTGAGGTGAAGGGGGGCAACCGGCTCCGGCTATCCACACTACCCTTTGGAGTTTCCCTACAAACAGGATTTAAAAAATAAAGTTAATGCTAACTTAAAAGCATTTAAGAGAGAGGAGAGCTGCAAGGAGAAAAGGCCCTGAGGGTATTTGTGTGCATGTGGTTTATGGAAGCAGAAGTCCCATACAGAAGGTGAAACACGGCACAAAGACCTTCAGGACTTGGGAAGAAAACACTGCCTAGCAGCTGTGTGAGAACATAAGAACATAAGAGAGGCCAATGTTGGATCAGGCCAATGGCCCATCCAGTCCAATACTCTGTGTCCAACACAGTGGCCAAAAATACCAGGTGCCATCAGGAGGTCCAGCAATGGGGCCAGGACACTAGAAGCCCTCCCACTGTTGCCCCCCCACAAGCACCAAGAATACCGAGCATCACTTGCTCCAGACCGAGAGTTCCTACCTATACCTTGTGGCTAATAGCCAATACCTATTAGCCAATAGCTACCAGGGCCCTTTTTGTAGAAAAAGCCCAGCAGGAACTCCTTAGCATAATAGGCCCCACCCAACAGCAGAAACTCATTAGCATATTAGGCCACCCCCCTGACAGCACAGCTCATTAGCACATTAGGATGCACCCCCATGTTACCAGAAGTGTGGTTATCCAACCACACCCACCTTTTGCTTGTTATTCTGTTTACCTTGTTTGTTGTCAAAACCCAGGGCTTTTTTTGTAGCAGGAACTCCTTTGCATGTTAGGCCACACACCCCTAATGTAGCCAATCCTAATGAATTTCTTCTGTTGGGTGTGGCCTATTATGCTAATGAGTTCCTGCTGGGCATGGCCAACTCAGGAGCCAGCCGGAACTCCGTTCCTGTGCGTTCCTGCCCCAAATTAGCCCTGCTAATAGCCAATGGTGGTGATGGAATGTGACATCTGGCTGCAGCCAGCTTATGGCGACCTCGTAGGGTTTTCAAGGCGAGAGAGGAACAGAGATGGCTGCCTCTGGACTTCCTTGGTGGTCTCTCATCCAAATGCTAACCTGGGCCGACCCTGCTTAGCTTCCAAGATCTAATGAGATCGGTCTAGCCTGGGCCATCCAGGTCAAGGCACCAGCTGTGTGTGCATGCTGCTAATCTGTTGCGTTTCTGGGTGGACTTTCGCAAGGCCAGAGAGAGAGGAACGGTGTGGTCAAAACACCTCTCAGATTCAATCAATACTGGAAAGTAAACATCAGAGGCCATTCAAATACTAGAGTTTCGCCGACAGAATAATGCACTGGGATGTCTTTCAGAGTGCAGGCCTAGTGAATGGGACCTCTGGGTGCCCGTGACAGTCAGATGTAGAGAGAAGCCAGCAGGTGAGGACTGTTGTCTATGGACTATACTTGTGGGCTTCCCTGTGACATCTGACTGGTCACTGGAGGAAACAGGATGATGGGTTAGATGGAGCACTGGACTGATCCAGCACAGCTGTTCTTCTGTTCTGATGCTAAGGGAGATCTTGTTTTTGCATTGCTCATATGTACTAGCTATACTGTTTTCCCACATGCTGGGCCATTTTTGTGCTGCACTTATTTAATATTTAGTTCGGTCTGTGCTAATGAGAGATGAAGACCCCTGCTATCTTTGATTTGCACCCTTCGTTTACCACTGGGTGAGCATATTAGGAATCCAGCCTGGCGTAACTAACTGCATCAGAGATAGTGGTGAACCAGTATACACGTTTCTTTTCTTTTTTCCTTCTTCCTGATTTTGCATGTTTTATTTATTTGTACCTTGTTTTTCTCCACAGTGGAAGACCCAGGTTCAAAACCCCATTCTTCCATGGAAGCCCGCTGGGTGAGCTTGGGCCACTTACTCTCTCTCAACCCAACCCACCTGACAGGGTGATTGTTGGGAAGATAAAATGAAGGAGGAAAAAAATATATATCGTAAATCACTTTGGGTTCCCATTGATTGCACTGACTTACACCGTCTAATCTTCCTTGAAGTTTCAAGTGAGAATGGCGGACGGAAAATAACATAAATGTGGGGTACAAAAATCTAAATATAGAACTGCAAAAGATAAATGTAAAGGTTTCCCTCACTCGAAAGCCAGTCGAATCCGACTCTAGGGGGCGGTGCTCATCTCCGTTTCCAAGCCAAAGAGCCAGCGCTGTCTGAAGACTTTTCTGAGGTCATGTGGCTGGCATGACTAAATGCTGAGGTGCACAGAACACTATTACCTTCCCACCAAAGCGGCACCTATTTATCGACTTGCAATTTCTTGCTTTCAAACTGCTAGGTTGGCAGGAGCTGGGGCCAGAGACGGGAGCTCACACTGTCACATAGCATTTGGGTCTCGAACTGCCGAGCTACCGACCTTCCAGTCTACAACTCAGCGTCTTAACCTCTGAGCCACTGCAGCTCCAAAAGATACCATGACATTATTTATTATACTGCTATTTTGCTCTTACATGGGGATCCCCCCATGGTTTCCTATTAGGGTTGCCAATAACTGGAGATTTGAGGGCAGTGTCTGGGAACAGATTTCAGTTCCTCCTAGACTCTATGATATACCATAGAGTCTGCTCTCTGAAACTGCCACTTCCTCTAGGGTCGGCCTGTAGCTACATTGGGGCATTTCGGGGCCTAGCCCCCTGACTTCCTGCCAAGGCCCCCTGACTTCTATCCAGCCCCCAGGCCCCTGGCTCTCTGGGCCCCCTGGAAGACTTCTAACTCTCTGGGACACCTGGGGGACTCCCCACCACCGCCCCTTCCCCAAGCGTGGCTTGCCTCCCCACGTAAGCAAGCAGAGTGCGAATGCCACAAAAGTGAGTTTTAAAAATTGTATTTTTATTTTGCAACATCAGTGCCCCCTGACTTATTTAAAGGCCCCCTAAATTACAAAATCCTGGCTACGGGCCTGCTGTAGGGCAACTGATGACTCAAGTCCAGAGATCAGTGGTAATTACAGGAGAGCTCCAGCCCCCACCTGGTGTTTTGTTAGCCTGTCTCCTCCTCAAGGAGCTGCGGTGGCTCAAGTGGTTAAGACGCTGAACTGTAGGCTGTGGAAGGTCAGTAATTCAGCAGTTCAAGACCCGAATTGCCGCATGACGGAGTGAGCTCCCGTCTCTAGTTCCAGCTTTTGCCAACCTAGCAGTTCGAAAGCAAGAAACTGCAAGTAGATAAATAGGTACCACTTCGGTGGGAAGGTAACAGCATTCCGTGCGCCTTGGTGTTTAGTCATGCTGGCCACATGACCATGGAAACGTCTTCGGACAGCGCTGGCTCTTCGAATTTGAAACGGAGATGAGCACCGCAACCCTAGAGTCGGACTCGACTGGCTTTCGAGCAAGGGAACCTTTACCTTTTACTCCTCCCCAAATTACTGAATGGGTCTAACATATCTGCTTAGATCAAGCAGTGATGCAATAGCAGACACTCCCAGACTATCTGCTTGGACAACAGCATGAACTTCCATGCTTTTCATGCAGCCCTGCTCATGATAAGCAGAGACAGGCCTCTGTTAAGTCATAACCAGGGGTCTTGTTGTAGAAAAAGAGCTGCCGGAGCTCATTAGCATAACTCATTAGCATAACTTATTTGCATATGCCACGCCCCCTGACATCACCGGAAGTGACAGAAGGCCACACCCCCTGACATCACCGGAAGTGTGTCAGAAGGCCCGGCTACTTACCCTCCTGCTTCATCCTCATTCCCAAACGGAATGAGGATCGAAGCAGAGGGCGGGGTAAAGAAGGGGGCGGGGCTTCACCACGTGACCGCCCCGCCCCCTAGAGGTTCTCTTCCGGAGCTCCATACCTGAGAGCTCCCCCCCGACTAGAGCCCTGGTCATAACGTGAACACCAAAAGAGAAGCTTGCTTATAAATGCTCACAAACCCACCTTGTACTTAGCGCTCGTGGAATAGCTGGTTCTCCATCGGACCGTGTAGAACCGGACTTCGGTCATCTTCGAATTCTTCGGGACAGAGTTGTCCGCCCAGCTGACTCTCACGGCATCATGGGTTAATGCAACAGCCTGGACACCTACTGGTGGGAGCATGGGGGTGGAGATATCTGGGACTGAGGTAGGGAAATCATCAAGCAAAGGATAAAAATCAACTTCTAATGGGTCAATGGGATCTGGGTCACAAAAAGCCACCAAAAGCGAGCATTCCACAAATCAAAATAAAGATTTTTTTGGGGGTGGGGGGATTGTAACAGGCGCCAGGGAGATACACATCACGATGGGTTAAATGTATGGCGAAACAATGATGACGGGGGGGAGAATATGGGAAGAACAAAAAGAGAGAGCTGTTAATTGAAAAAGAAAGAAAGGAAAACATGAATAATAACTAAGTCACGCTACTGTCTTCAGAGGAAACAATATATTTTGAAAAAAGTGTTCGAATGCATTACACATACTTGGTTTCACTTTCTTTCCTCCCAGTGAAGTTTCAAGGCCTAGTCTGTCATCAAAACGACTCTGGTGTCTTTACACTCAAATAAATGAATGGTAGATTTTGCAAAGAAACCCAGACAAAGTGAAAAAAGAAAAATAAATATTCTGAGCTGTTGTGTTTTGTAAGCATAGCACACTCAGACATGTGTAGGAGTTACCTGTATTGTTCCCCTTTCTCTCCTGAAACCTCTCAACGCTGCCTGAAAGAGCACCCATCTGTTTAAATATTCTTGAAAGAGGAAAAAAAACCACAGAATGGGCTTATTCAACTGGGATTAAGGACGCGCAAAAACTCTGCCTGGTTTTGTTCTCACTTGTATATGTGTTCAAAAGCATCATTATGACTACCTTCGTCACCCGCTGGATGCCTTTGCATGGTTCTGCTACTGTCCTCTCCCTATCACTTCCTCTTGTCTTTGCCCTCGCTGCCGTCGCTGTCCTCCGTCTCCTTTGCTCTCGCTGTCATTTCTTTTGACTGCCTACTGGGACTACAGTGATTTTGTTGATCCCATCACGATTCTACCTCTGATGTAATGAGTTCATGAATGCTTGTAAGCCAAATCAGGTGTGTGGGGGTGTGTGTCACAGCTAATCAAATTAAACATCAGTGAAGGCTAATGAGGGCAAGGACAGTGAGGGCAAAAAATTAGATAGGGCACTGGAGTTGAGAAGCAGCAGCAGCAGCAGCCGCTATCAGGCAAACGAGATAACATTAAAGAGCAGCAAAATCTTTTCGGTGTTTGTTGAAAGCTAGTAGGCAATTAAAATGTTCAGTGAAGCAGGTATGTTTGGGGTCATTTGTTTGGTTATTATTGTATCAGAAGTTCTACTTGGAAAGGAACACCAAAATTAGAGAATATTCAGTGCTGCTAAAGGATTACGTTTCCTGATTTGATGGTGCTAAAATGACTCGTGGCTAGGAATTTATACTTGGCATTTCTTCAAAATCACCGTGGTATCTTTCTGAAGGCATGGAAAACACAGTTGCCTTCAGCTTCAACCACATCTGGTGTGACAACCTAGAGCATGGCAGCTGACATAATGAGAGCATTCCAGCATTCCTTACAGTTTGTTATGGGGAAAGAGCACTTTTCAGTCCCTCAAGCCAGCCTTCCTTAAGAGCAGTTCAGCTGCGGCCCATCCAACATGGTACTCCTTCCAATGTTCCCTCTAAGCTGTGGAGTCCTGTGAGCAAATATTGTACTTTCTGAGCTACTGGCATTAAAGTTGTGAGCAGGTGAATTGGCTACTGCATAAATTAGTTTGCTCCGGAGCCATCCTTCCTGAGCCAAGACAAAAATGTGTGAGCCGGAGGCTAAAAAAACTGTGAGCTAGCTCATACTAACTCAGCTTAGAGGGAACATTCCCTTTAAAGACCTACATTATCTGCCACCAGGGTACGCAAAAGGACCACTTACTTGCAAATTAACCTTCTCATCATCTTCCCACTGAAGTCCTACCCCCATTTATTTATTTATTTCACAAAATTTATACCCCACCTTTCTGTCCTCATAAGGATCCATCAAGGTGGCTAACAGATTAAAACATGCATAATGAAATATCTTAAAAACCACTAAAACCATCAAAAACACATCGTTAAAACAATTAAAGGCAGAGCTAAACTATATGACTACATTAAAACAACAACAACAATTAAACCACTGGGCCGAAAGGAGGGATCACTGAGGGAACCCCAAATGAAACAAAAACATGTCTGCACTGAGGTGAAAGATAGCAACAGGATGGGGGCAGACAAGTCTCCCCGGGGAGAGAGTTTCAGAGTTTTGATGCCACAACTGAGGATGCCCTTTCCTAGGTTGCCTGTCCAGTGACCTTGGGCCTGTCACAACCTCTCAGCCTAAATTACCCTGAAAAGGTTGTTGTTATGAGGATTAAATTGAGAAGAAGGATATCCATCCATCCATCCATCCATCCATCCATCCATCCATCCATCATCTCCTCCTTTTCTCTCTCATCAGATATTGTTCCACCTTCTCTGTTTAATATGTTACTGTTTCAGTGCTGGGTGACCACCATGGCTGTGGTCTCTCACACACGAAATAATCCACTTTCCAATTGGATTTTGCCAGTTCACACAGTAATAATCCAGTTGGCAAGTGGATTGAAAGTGGATTATTTAGTATGTGTGGCCACAGCCAATCTCTCTCAAGGAGGCATCAACTACCTTTCTGACCCAGTTACACAATATCCCCCCCCCCCCAGGTTTAAGTGGCCAGGAATGTCAAGGGGCATACAAACAGTTGGTAACATTCAAGCCTCCAAACATCCCATCCAAATCCTTAGATGGAATGAATTGAACAGCCAACTTTCAGAAGTGAGGTGGGCGATTATCAGAGAATAATAGGATAGTCCTGCATCCATTCCGCTAGTGTGGCACAAGGAGTTGTCCCGTGATGCAAGAGGTCCTTATACGAGCAGAAGAGTTTCTTGGGCCAAGAGAGGGCTCCTTGTTTCGGGGGAAAGAGACACAATAAGTGGAATGGACGTGTGGGGTACAACACCAGGACTTTTTCTGTAGTGGCACCCACACTATGGAACTCACCTCCCCAGAGCCACTCCCCTGGCACCCAGTTTGCTAGCTCTTAGGCATCTAGCATGTCAGACCATACTCTGAATATTGAAATCATTTATCCAATTTTGATACTTTTGCTTGGGCCTTCTGTTGTATGTGTGTTGTGTTTGTGTGGCTTTTTGCTGTTGACAAGGTGGTGCAAGTTACAGGTAGGATCACCAACCTTGGTGAAGGGGGAATGAAGATCACCTGGAATTACAACTTATCTCTAGGAGAGAGCGATCAGTTCCCCTGGAGAAAATGGTTGCTTTGGCAGGCAGACTCTATGGCATTATACCCCACTGAGGTCCCTCCCCAGGCTCCATCCCCAAATGTCCAGGTGTTTCCCAAGTGGAGTTGGCAACCCTAGTTACAGGACATGCTAAATCTTGTGACAGTGAGCTCCAAACTAGGGGTATATAAAGAAAAATTGTATTTTTCGGGTTTGGGTATATTGAACAAAAAAAAATCAGTATTTCCTGAAATTCCTGAATTCCAATATTGGTATGGTATTGGGATTTGGGAAATAATTGGGAAACCTGAATTTATTTGACTCCCTTATAGCCTATGGGGACCATTACCCACAGGCTATAATGGAGAATCAATCTGGGGCTCTGGGGCTATCCTAAAAAAAACCCCCAAAGTTTCAAAAAGATTGGACCAGGGGGTCCAATTCTATGAGCCACAGAAGAAGATGCCCCCATCTTCCATTGTTTCTAATGAACTGGGGAAAGGGACACGATCCCTTTAAATGCCTTCTCCAAGCCACAGCACAACTTCATGATGTGAGTGAACTCTGAGGGCAAAATGCAAAATGCCTTCAGAGTTCACTCTGAAGGCATTTAGGTGAGACATCACTTTATTATATCCTCGGCTCCATTATAGCCTATGAGGACCACTCCTCATAGGTTATAATGGAGAATCAATATGGAGGTATATGGGGCTCTGGGGGACTGTTTTTTGAGGGAGAGGTACCAAATTTTCAGCATAGCTGCTGGTGTCTCTCCTCACCCCAAGTTTTAAAAAGACTGTACCAGGGGTCCTATTCTATGGGCTCCCAAAATAGGTCTCTTTAAATGCTTGAGTTCACTCACCAAGTCCTACCCGTGGTGATGTGGGCTGGCTTGGAGAAGGCCCATGCCACAGCATGCATGACTTGGTAAATCTCCAAGCTGTGCCCAAATAAAAGCCGAATAATATTGACTTTTATTCAGGCTCAGCTATATCAGTAGCTGAATCAGATTAGAGAATCTATATTCGGCTGAATAAATACCCGAAAAAATTATTTATTCAATTCAGTTTATACCAAATGCACACCCCTACTCCAAACCTTGGTTATGCAGTCGGGGGCTTAATTGTATTTGGTGTCATGCTGCAAGAATCAAAGAATCAATACCTGCAAAATTTCCTGGCTGAGAATTACTCAAATCCATATGCTGTCTTGTGTATATAATTTTTAAACACTTTTTAAAAAAGAATCAATTTGGTTTTGTACATGTTCTAATCAATCACTGAACAGTTTGGGAGACCAAAACCTTCCTCATTGGAAAAATAAAACGTACAGAAATGAAGTTGTGTTTAAAATGTAAGCAGACTTGTAATTTGGGGTGGGGCATAACTTATTTTAAGTTTTTACCCCACTGCAAAGTCAGTAAAGCACCTGACCCCTCCACTAACATTGCCAGGTCCCCCCCTGGCCACCAGCAAGGGCAGGGGGGCAGGGTTGCTAGATCCAGGTTGGGAAACTCCTGGAGATTTGTGGATGGAGCCTGAGGAGAACATGGGCCTCAGTGGGGTACAATACGTCCAAAGCATTTATGGAAACGTGTTCTTCACTGCCCTCAGACTGCTTGTGGGGAGGGTGGTATATAACAACAACAACTGGGGGAAACTGGGGGAAAAGAAATTGTAGTTGTTGCTGTTGTTATTATTATTATTATATTTTCTCCAGAGGAACTGATCTCTTTAGTCTGGAGATGAGCTGGAATTCTGGGGGGAATTCCCAGGTCCCATCTGGAGAGGCCGGCACCCCTACCCCCCCCATTCTTGTGAACACATAGACTAGAAAAATAGAAGGAAGGAAGGAAGGAAGGAAGGACATTCTATATTTTAACTTATTTTTCAGTAAGCTCAACAATCTTTCTCCTAACTAAAATCTGTATGCCCAAATGCAACCCCCCAACCCAGTTTCCTCTTTTTTAATTCATGCGAAAAATATGTCAAACTGCACATTAGCATAAACTCTTGGAGAGGAAGTAGGTTGCTATTCTTTTCATCGTTGAGCTCTTCCCTGAGACACTTTGATGCAAAAAAATGAGACAGAACATGATCAATTTTTCTTTGTGCCTGACATTCTAGGAGATGTTCTACACCAGCATTGCCTAATAATGGAGAGTATTACTCATTTGTGCTTACAGCTTTCAATTTCCACTGAAAAACTGGGAGGGGGGGAGAAATCAGAAAGAGTTTTGCGTAAAAAGTGAAGTAACGGGAAAAAATAGCTGCAATACTTCTGGTTTACATAGCTTTAGCTGAAAGGTAACATGTGTTACACATTACAGACATAAAACACTGTGTATCTTTCTATTACATCTTTTTCTCCCTGGTGACATCTAGAAATGTGAAAGCTTGCTATACATGGGATATTGAAAAAGAAAGGCAGTCTAGCAAGATTAACACTTAGATTCAATCAAGATAATCCAGTTTTTGAAACATTGCATTGCTCAGCAGCAAAACAGAGGAATTTGGTAATCTTATCTGCCGGGGCCAGAAAACGAGAACCCCTAAATACCCTGGCAATCTTCTTCCCCAGAATTTTCCCTTTTTGCTAATGCTGATGTATAGACATCTGTCATTAAGTAACTGCAACAGCAGAAGAAATAGCACACACTTTAATGCTTGTTTTTGCCTGGAGAAGCCCATTATGTTATTTAACATCCGAAACAGCCTTCTATTGAATTGGACCGCTGGTCTACCTAGCGTAGTATTATCAGCAAGCCGCTCTCTGGGCTCTCAGATAGCAAAAAGTCTTTCCCAATGCTTGAAAAATCATTTCGCTTGGGATATCAGGGTAGGCCAACCTCCAGGTGGTAGATGGAGATCACCCATTACTACAACTGATTCTAGGTGATAGAGAAGAAGGACAAGGAGGAGGAGGAGAGGAAGAAGAAGAGGAGGAGGAAAAGAAGGAGGAGGAGATTGGATTTATACCCCACCCTTCACTACCCAAAGAAGTCTTAGAGTGGCTGACGATCTCCTTCCCCTTCCCCTCCCCACAACAGACACCCTGTGAGGCAGGTGGGGCTGAATGAGCTCTTTTGAGAACTTCTCTTGAGAGAACAGCTCTGAGAGAACTTGTGACTGACCCAAGGTCACACTAGCAGCTGCGTGTGGAGGAGCGGGGAATCAAATCGGGTTCTCCCAAATTAGAGTCCATGCTCTTAACCACTTCACCAAACTGGCTGCTTTGGCATTAAACTCTATGGCATTATACCTCACTGAAATCCCACCCCTCCCCAAAACCCCACCCTCCTCAGGCTCCACACCCTAAATCTCCAGTTATTTCCAAACCCGGACCTGTCAACCCTGTATCAGGGATGGATCCCTGGATTTTCTGCATGTAAAGCATCTCTTTAGCCACTGATCCATGCATTTCCCCCCACTGTTTTGCCACAATGATCTCTGAATGGCTAGCATGCTTGGAAAGCTGCTGAGATCCAAAACTGGGAGGGGATGCAATGGCCCTGATCACCACTATTCTCTTATCATGTGGCATACCCTGGCAGGCTGGAGATCATGAAAATCTCTTTGGACCGCCTTTTGGCCTCTACAGATGTTGAGGAGTCAGGTGAGATGGCTCAGAGTCTTCTGCGAAGTACAAAGGCTTATATACGTAGCAGAAGAAGATAAGAACATAAGAAGAGCCCTGCTGGATCAGACCAATAGTCCATCTAGTCCAGCATCCTGTCTCACACAGAAGCCAACCATTTCCTCTGGATGGCCAACAACAGCGCATAGAGGCTGAGGCCTTCCCCAGATTTTGCTTCCTAGCTCTGGGATTCAGAGGATTAGTGCCTCTGAATGTGGAGGTTCCCCTCAATCACTATGGCTACTAGCAGAGCATGCATTTTCTCAGATTACACATCTGACCACTCTTAGCTTCTCACCAGTTAAGAAGGCTCTGCTGGTGATCTCTGGCCAGACAGCCCTCAAACCGTAGAGGCAAGCCCTATTATCCACGGACTGCACTTTTAAAAGCTTAGAACTGCTGCACAAACAAGTAGAGGGCTGTGAAGGGTTAATTCTCCACAGAGCCAGGGAGCCTTGAGTGACAGGCTGTTCCAAGAGATCGGATTAGTTAGCATCAGTTGAGCAGAGAGACTTTAGAGCTGAATGCTGAGGAGAACTCATTTGGAATTCAGCCCTCACTGAGAGCAGTTTAACACAGACGGGAGAACTGGAGAGAGTTGGCAAGGATGAGTGGTTAGTTAGATGGAGACTCCCATTCGAGCCAAAGAAAGGGGATAGATCTTTTCATGAGAGGAGAATTTCCCTACCCAGTCAGACAGGAAGTTAGCTCTGAAGAGTGCAGAGATCCTTGGTCTGGTGTGGTTAGGAACTGCCTGTAGAAACTTAAGAGTCAGTTAAAAACTCAAGACGAGTTCTGGTGTTCTAAGAGAAGGGGTTCGGGTACTAGAGAGAGTATACCTGCCTTCTGGAAACCAGAAGAGTCAGAGATACTCAAAGAAAGTGTACTGGAGTGTTTGGGGGAAAACACTGGAACAAAAGCCTCTCAAAAAAGATTTCAATCACAGTGAAAAGCTTAGGAAACCAACATCCAGCGAAGGAGCATCCACCATCTCCCGAGGCAGTCTGTTCCACTGCTCAACCTCTCTTACAGTTAGGAAGTTTCTCCTGATATTTAGCCGGTAACGACTCCCTTGTAATTTCCACCTGTAATTTCCTTGTAATTTCATGTGTGGCTCCGCCTCTCATGGCAGCCATTTTGTGGCTGGCTCTACCTCCCATGGTGGTCATTTGATGTTGTGCCCACTGAGCTGAGTCAGGATTCCCAATGTGCTCCTAGGCTCAGAAAGGTTGGGGACCCTTGTTCTACGCAGCCATGTCCTACAGCAATTCATCAGGACTTGATATAATCGTGCGTTGACCAAAAGAGTGCAAAAGGATCCTTCAAAGCTATGTCATCCATTGTTTTGCTCAATGACCGATATGTATCTAGATTCGTTTTACCATAATTCATGGAGCGGAAATCCCATACTTAGAAAAGCCACCGCAGTTCTTTTTGCCAGTGACAACAAAGCTCTTGCAACCTGGGAAAGGAGACGTGCTCAAGGAGATCCATATTACTTGACCCTTTACAGCTCTAGAGCAAATATTGAATTTCTCTGGGCCGGTAAACTGGGGTACTCTTTGCACAATACATAAATTTTTGATCTCTTCGGAGAGTGTTAAACAGACACTGTATCAAAAAAGCGGCAAAGGAGCTGTCAGTTGGAATTATCCGAAGATCAATGGTCTTGTATCTGGTCATCTTATATCTTTAATAACTCTTCATTTGATATAAAGCTTCTGACCTTTAAAATTCTATCTCATGGACATTTAACCCCTCGTATATTGTCTCATATGTCTTCAAAGTGTGCTCCATTGTGATGGAAAATGTGTGGAGAAGTGAGTTTGTCTGAGCATTGTTGGTGGAAGTGCTCTTTTGGCCAGTTCTTCAAAGAGGAAACTGAAGTTAAAAGCTCACTTATGGAACCTTCCTCTTGTGCAAAGTGACAATCCACATTATTTAAAAAGACTAACCAGCTAAATATGCCTACTGATATAGCATGTCCACCAGTGTTCCCTCTAAGCTGAGTTAGTGTGAGCTAGCTCACAGTTTTTTAGCCTCCAGCTCACACATTTTTGTCTTAGCTCAGGAAGGATGATTCCAGAGCAAACTAAGTTATTTAGTAGCCAATTCACCTGCTCACAACTTTAATGCAAGTAGCTCACAAAGTAGAATTTTTGCTCACAGGACTCCACAGCTTAGAGGGAACATTGATGTCCACATAAGAACATTGGAAGAGTCTTCCTTGATCAGAGCAGTGGTGCACCTAGTCCACCATCTTGTTTCACACAGTGGCCAACTAGTTTCTCTGAGGGCCAACAAAAGGGCATAGAGGCCGAGGCCTTCCCCTGATGTGGACTCCTGGCTCTGGGATTCAGAGGCCTAACGCCTCTCAACATAGAGTTTCCCCTCAGTCACCAGGGCTAGTAGCCACTGATAGACCATGGTTCAAGTCACTCTCCCCCAAGTAAAAGAGGAGGAAACATCATATATTCAGAGGCACACATGTTCTTGGAACATTTAAAAAAAATGTGCACACAACCAAGGAAGTGACCTTTGCAACCACTACAAAAATGTAGCGTTTGCAAGGATATATCCATTGGATTACAAGCGATAAGAGTATATGGATCATCATTTCTTTTTCCATTTTGTGGTTGAAAGCATAATAGCTCTTCTCCTTTTATGGTTTTCCAAGATTTTTTAATGGAAATACTTTGCAAAAATGTAGAAGCCAAAAACAGATGATCATCTGGGGAAAAAAAAAACATGCTGTTGTTTAGTTCACTTATTCCTCATGAGCCAGCATTACCCCAATTTTTTCTTGCCACGCCGAGCTTGTAAAGCAGCTCCAGTGACCATTTCAAAAACTCCCCTCACACCATCTTTGGTCTTTGCACCGCACTCCACGTGTCCAAAAGCACCGATGTGGTTTGCCACATCCCTGCCCTCTTCGGGTTTGACTGGTTCCTGCTTCATTTCGGCCAGTTCCCATCTTGTGTGTTCATCGTTTCTCAAATCCTTCTTATTTGCCTACCAAGACGATGGGTACACTGGGGCAAAAATGTTTTAACTTTGGAGTCCACTTCTCTGGAATGTTCTCTAAACTATCAGGGCTATCAATTGAAAGACATATAACATCAATGTCTGGATCTTAAAGTCAGGTCGGTGTAGTGCTTAAGTGCGCGGACTCTAATATGGGAGAACCAGGTTTGATTCACCACTCCTCCACTTGCAGCTGCTGGATGACCTTGGGCAAGCCATAGTTCTGTCAGAGCTGTTCCTGCAAGGACAGTTCTGTCAAGAGCTCTCTCAGCCCTACCTACCACACAGGGTGTCTGTTGTGGGGAGAGGAAGGGAAAGGAGTTTGTAAGCTGCTCTGAGACTCCAAGTGAAGGGCAGGGTATAAATCTAATATCTTCTCTTCTTCTTTTTTTAACCAAAACAATTTTATTTATTGTAACACTTGAATACAGACAATTGTAACATTTGAATACAAACAACAAATCGCTGGTTTTCTTCATATAAAACAAAGAATTACAATAATCAGTAAATATAGGAATTACACTGAAAAACCTTGAAAGCCATACAATATTTAACCAAGCAATAACAATTTGTATTTAGCATCATAAATAGTTCTCTTCTTCTTCTTCTAAAGAGGCCTAAGTTGATCATAGTCTTCTTGTCCTGCTGTATCCTATAAGGCCAACTCCACCTGCTTAGAATCAACTTCAGTATCTGCCACATAGTTTTCAAATACTGAGGGGACATAAACTTCAGGAAACTGGTATTTACTAAATACAAAGAGAAGACACATCTCGCCGCAGGTGCCATCACCCGCTATAAGCAGCTTTTTCCGAACGGCTGACATAACTGAAAGGGCTCCCCTGCGTCTCCCTGGCACTGCTTCCTTATTCTTCTACAGGCTCAAACTCCAGCAACGGCTAAGAACAGAAACTGCTGAGGTGGGGCCAGCCAGCATTATCTATCAGTTGCTTCCGTTTGCTCTCAGTGACTTGACCTTCCTCCCTCGGAGAAAGTTCTCAACATGGCGGTGATGCACAAGGGGGAAAAAGCCCTCAACCAAATGGCAGATGTTGCTCCAGAAGGAAAAAGAACGACACTGAACTTCGCATTGACAAAGCATTGCTGTGAGGTGAAGGCATTTCACATCATTCTCCCTGGTAAGGTGGTGGCTAAAAGTGCTGGCTTATGGTGACCCTGTAGGGTTTTCAAGGTAAGAGAGGAACAGAGGTGGTTTGCCATTATCTGCCCCTGCGTAGCAACCCTAGGTGGTCTCCCATCCAAGTACTAACCAAGGCCAACCCTGCTTAGCCTCTGAAATCTGACAAGATCAGGCTAGCCTGGGCCGTCCAGGTTGGTGTAAATTACACATACAGAGGTGGTTTTCCATTCTCTGCCTCTGCGTAGCAACCCTAAATTCCCTAGATGGTTTCCCAACCAGGGATGACCCTACTTAGCTTCTGAATAATGAGATCAGGTTAGCCTGGGCCATCCAGGTTAGTGCAAATCACACATACAGAGGTGGTTTGCCATTGTCTGCTTCTGCGTAGCAACCCTGGACTTCGTGGTGGCCTCCCATCCAAGTACTAACCAGGGCTGATCCTGCTTAGCTTCTGAGATCTAATGAGATCAGGCTAGCCTGGGTCATCCAGTCTGGGGCCCACATACGGTAAGCTACTATTATCCACATACTGTGGGAGAGGGTAAGAGGGTAATAAGTAATTTTATTTATTTATAATTTCAATGTATATACCTCCCTTCTCTGAGTTCACAGAGCTCAGGGTGGTTAACGACATAGCATTGCATAATTTAAAATCCAAGGAATTAAAATAGTTTAAAAACAGCATCAGGTGAGGGCTTTAGGTTTAATGGCGACCCGCTAGCAGATGCATTCCCCGGACCTCCCGGGGAGGCGATCCACGCACCGGTGGTTCAGAGGGAGGGTGATTGTTCGCGCACACACCCCAGAGCCTTGGTGAAAGGCTCCTAGCCATGGGGCTTCTGAGGGGTGGCCTCTTCACCAGCATGATGTTGGAGAATTGAGGCACTCCTCTGCTCCGGCTGTTGGGCATCCAAATGGAACTAGAGACGCTGATGGGACAAGCGTTGGAGATCGGGCGTTGTAAACGTACCTGTGGCGAGGTCAACCAGACCACCAATGAACAGTGAGTCGAGTTTAACGCAAACACCAGGATTATAAAAGAAAGCCACCCAGGATCGGCGAGACTAGTGAGCAGGAGAAGGGCCCCTCCCACACGCATGAATAAAGCAGTGATCTCCCAAGGGGGAGGGCGAAACTATAAGCGTTAAAATCTACGTAGTCTATAGAAAATGCAATTGAAGAGCACACGAGAGTGTGAATAAAGCGCTTGGCCAAATTGCAGAGACTTTAGCAAAACTTTTAAAAAGTAAACAATCCATAAAAATGGCACTGAGAAAAGTGGAGAAAGAAAGGCAGGCAAAAATGAAACTGGCTGAAAGCATGATACCACAGAGTTTTCTAAGCTGCTAGCGGACTCTTTGCACCCTCTACTGGATCGGATGATGAATATCAACCAACAGCTGACAACATTAAACCAGAACTTTGCAGCTCAGCAGCTCCAACTGAATGAAACTACCAAAAAGACGGAGCAAACAGCTGAGAAGGTGAAGGAAATGGATGCCAAATCCAAAAAGGTTAATAAAAGGCTGCAGTTACTGGAAAAGAAACAAGTTTCTGACGAATCTCAGCTTATGCAGCTACAAACGGAAAAAGCCAACCTAGTTCTCCAGTTCCAAGGTGTCCCTGAGGCTAAAGATGAGAATCTGAAACAACTTTTGTGCTTGCCCCAATTGCAGATTTAAAAGCAGACTATCTTATAAGCGAAATGGATGTGGCTTATAGAGCCGACTCCGTATACATCAAGAAAAATAATCTGCCTGGGGAAATAGTGGTAAGATTCTCGAGGGGAAATGTGCGGGATCTGATATTGAAAGCAACATCAGGAGCACCCTTAAAAATTGGAGACAACACCATCAGAATTCTAAAAGATATTCCTTTTGAAATAAGAAAAAAGAGACAGAAATATAAGTAGTTGATTATGTTCTTTCAAACAAACAGTATTCCTTACAAATGGTTGATTCCCGAGGATGTCTTTTTCAAATTAAAGGATAAAAAAGAAGAAATGACTCTGTTTCTAAAGCACGTGAGTTTCTGAGACTGCGAGATTCAGGAGAGGACGGCAGAGAGGACAAGGACAGCAAACCTAGCGAGGAAATGGACTCTCCTATTCCTTCTTCCGACAAGGACTCTGCTTCTGAAAAGGGGGGTGGCGGCCCCCAAACGTGATCATCAATTGAGGATAAGAAAAGATAAAACAAAATAATGGCTGAAGAAATCTGAATTGTGCCTTATAAGCTTTTATTATCAATGATGCTCTGGTGACTCTCTTAAAACAGTGTAACTAATCGATATGAAGTCTAATATCATAGCTTAAGAACATAAGAACATAAGAGACGCCAATGTTGGATCAGGCCAAAGGCCCATCCAGTCCAACACTCTGTGTCACACAGTGGCCAGAAATACCAGTGCCATCAGGAGGTCCAGCAGTGGGGCCAGGACATTAGAAGCCCTCCCACTGTTGACCCCCCCAAGCACCAAGAAGACAGAGCATCACTTGCCCCAGAGCCCCTATCGACCATGTTCAATATAATTTTAGCATTTTTAGATTAATACTGATATAAGCAGATGAAATGATCTCCTATACTTGTGGTTTTAGTTACTAGTGGTTTTCTTTCCTTTCTCCTTAGATGTAATTGTCCCCTCCCTTTTTTCATTGTAGTACTTTGTAGTCTATAGAAAATGCAATTAAAAATCCCCTCCAGGGGGCCAACCCCCCAAAAAAACCCAGCATCAGATGGTGCCAAAACAAGTTTACAATTTGCATCACTGTCTCACAGTAAGTGAGAGAAAGCAGGATGGGGGAGGGGAAGGGAGTGCCAGATATGACGGTACGCATGGCTGTCCTCAACCAAAAACCTGGCAGGACATCTCTGCCTTGCACGCCCTGTGGAACTGCCCAACATCCCACAGAGTGTGGATGTTATTTGGAAGACAGTTCCACCAGCCCTGAAGAAGCCCTGGCTCTGGTCGAGGACAGCTGGACATCGTTAGGACTAGGAATTACCAGTAAATTGTTCTCAGCAGAGCGTAAAGCTCTTCGGGGGACATACCAGAAGATAATGTGTAACAAGCAAAGACAAGATTTATAGGGCACTTTTCGTGCTTCTATCCTTTATACTGCACTAACCATTTGACACTGGAAGAAGGAGGAGGAGGAGGAGGAGGAGGAGATTGGATTTATACCCCACCCTTCACTCGGAGTCTCAGAGTGGCTTACAATTTCCTATCCCTTCCCCTCCCCGCAACAGGCACCCTGTGAGGTAGATGGGACTCAGAGTGTTCTTTCCAGAACTGCTCTTTCAAGAACAGCTCTGACAGAACTATGGCTTGCCCAAGGTCATCCAGCAGCTGCAAGTAAAGGAGTGGGGAATCAAACCCGGTTCTCCCAGATTAGAGTCCGTGCAGTTAACTACTACACCAAACTGGCAAAGCTACAGTTTTCTAAGCCCACAGTTTTCAGTGGGGTTAGAAGACAGTTACTGCCCTGTGAATCCTTCTTTCTTTCTCTTTATATTTTTGTCTTTGTCTTGTCTCATCTTGGCATTGTCAGTATTAGGACGTGTAGTGCAACTATTCAACACTGTCCTTCCCAGGACCCTCTTCATGTTCTAATAATAAGAACATGATGTTCTAATGCATAATTGTCTAACGTTATGAATATCACGCTTCAACCAGCCCATGGCCATCCGGCTGTTGGGCTGGGGGGGCGCCTTTGCCTCCCAGCCGGAAGAGGCAGCCGACATTTGGCGCCAAAAGCGCCGCACACGGGACTCTGGAGGGGGCGGGGCAGTGTGGGCTTAAAAGCCCAGCCCCGCCTCTCCTCAGCAGTCCCGCGCGTTTCGTCGGCAGCGGCAGAGCTCCGGTGCGTGGCTCTCCCTTTCTCGGGCCTTCGGAGGCCAGGGGATGCACAGCGGAGCTAGTGATGCAGCCGCTTGGGATCAACGCGGCGAGGGAGCGCAGGGTGTGGATTCGGCGGCAGTGGCGGCAGCGGCCCGCAGGCCAGTGGCGGTCGCTTCATTGGCGGGCTGCGGTGGCCTCTAGAGAAGAGTGGGCTGCAGGGTGCTGCGCACGGCGGGCCGGCTGTCGAAGGTTTTTATACAGAATGCCATCCGGGGCTTAACGCATATGCTTGGACCGGGGAGGTGGCAGGCGTGGGCCTGTTCGGGCTGGCAGTTTGGAGTGAGTCCCTGTGAACGGGGGAACTCGGGGGTGCTCCTTCGGGAGTCACGGGGCTCAGTGCTGGTCCAGTTCTGGGCAAGTGTAGAGCCGGTTGGTGGTGGTTAGGTGCGGACTCTGGTCTGGGGGAACCGAGTTTGATTCCCTACTACTCTGCTTGTGCTTGCTGGGGTGGCCTTGGGTCAGTTGATGCTCTGGCACGGCTGTCCTTTAAAAGGGGTTGTTTGTGTTAGAGATCTCTCGGCCCACCCCACCCGCTCTGAGACTCTTGGTGAAGGGCGGGGTTTAAGTTCAGTCGCTTCTTCTCCTTCTTTTCCCTGTCCCCGGTGTTTTTTGCCCTCCGCCCAAGGCTTAGGAGTGCTCAAGTAGGGCATGCAAGTAGCGCCTCCCCTATTGGGGAGGGGTCGCATGGAATGTTCCCCCTAAGTTGTGAGTCTTGTGTGCAAGACTTCTTCTTTGGGAAGCTGCTGGCATTAAAGTTGTGAGAAGGCGATTTGGTTGCTACAGAA